TCTCTCTCTCTCTCTCTCTCTCTCTCTCTCTCGCTTGCATACATGAAAACACTTGCTAACTACATACCCATATCCATATGGTGAGTAGAAATATGGAGGCATATATGGCCTCCGGGACCGGTAAGCAAGATATGGATTGAAGCGTCGAGGACGGAACTGCTTCATTCCAGGAACATTGGTTCTTTTTGCCAACACCTGCAATGCACGTGCCAGCCATCCTCAGAATGCGACTGAGTTCTAATTCATATAAAAGAATAGAAGCCAAAGGTCTCTTGAATTGGTTGACCTACTTTCAATTGACGACCATGTAGTTCAGACTCGTTTAGAAGGAGAGCATTCTGAACAGCTTCCAATTCCACAAACTCAACGTACGCAAAGCCCTTTGGTTGACCAAACTTGTCTGTCAGGATCGTAACTCGGTTTACGGTCCCACAGGACTGAAAGTGCTGCTGGACTTCTTCTGGAGTGCACGAGTAATCAACCTAACGCAATTACACATACTATAAGCAACAAAAACCATGAAATAAAAGAGGCCTTCACTAAATACAAAACTAAATACAAACATGCAGTACATTTTTCCAGTGCCACTAAAACAACTCTCTCTCTCTCTCTCTCTCTCCATCCAAATTCTGCCATTTTCTCTTTCCCCAACCCTGCCCCATCTCTTTCGCTCTTTCTTTACTGTATCTTCCCTCTTCTCATCTCTCTACCCCTCGCAATTCCTCACTATTTCTCTCTTCTCTAAGCCATGGTTCCTCTTTCGTTTTTGGTTTTAAACATGTTTCTAAGCACCCGACATGTGGGATGCCACTCTCCACATCTCATGGGCTTTTTATAATCCATAAACTAGTAGTTGATATATTTATCACTTATTCAAAAAGAGAAAAAAAAACAAACAATAACAACAATTTGAATTAGGACAAATTCAAGCAAGGAAAATGCCTCTCATATCATACCTAACACACCACCTGTGTATCATATTCACACCCAACACACCACCTGCCTTCACTGATTACAACAGTCAATCGTGCCCACATATTTGCCATCTTATTATCAAGCTCACTGTCACCCGGGTGTCTACCGATACTTTTCAATATGAAACAAATTATACTTAAAAAACTCAGCCTACTTTTGGCAAAATACCTTTTATAAAGGCGTTGAGTGCATCACCCTTTATCTCCAGAGTTAATACGAACAAAATACTTAATGAGTCTTGAATGTAGATGATAACCCAAAGTACCATGCAAGTAAACATACCCAATAAAGGTCAACAAAACTTCGCGATCAAAATCCGCCAAAAGCATCACTACTTGCCATGTTATGTACCTCGATGATAATTGCACCAAAGTTTATGAGCTACTCAAATCTCGTGTTTAACTCATCCCCTGAATCCTTCACAATCTTTTCACCAGTCATTTAAATTCATCAAGCCTAAATTCATAAAAACGTTTCTGGAAATGCAATTCAAAAAATTACTCCAATTCCAGAAAAAAATTTTGTAAAACTCATTTCCAAAAAAATGAAAATGTTCTCGAAGCATTTTCTCTATCAAAAGGGAAAATTATTACTATCATGAATCCACTTAGGCTAGTTATCAACACTAGACCTAATAGGTGGTCCACCGATTGAACTGCCAACCGGTGCCTCGATGGTCCATGGTAAAAACCAGGTTTAATATTCAGCTCGTTTTGGTCAGTAGGACCGGGCAGTTTTAACTAATTAAACCAGCTAAATGAAGTTGGACAAATTTTTTAATGCATTTTATAGTTTTAAACGTTTATATCTATTTTGCTTTCCTTGTTTTCCTAAAATCCAATCGATTTAGGCTTCATTGAAAACCAAGAAATCCTTTCACATGGAACTCTGAGAAAAGCTTAGATGGCATAAGCTCAAAAAGGAAAATGGTAGAAAAAGAAATGCTCAGATAGCACTTTGCTGTAAAAATTAACCCAATTCAATCAAAGAAGCCTTTTACAGTGGATGATCCACCAGGTTTCTATTCAGACTCCTGCTGCTAAATTAAGATAATGATACAGTAGGCAACCTAACACAAAATATATGATGGTTATGTGTGTCATCTCCGATTCCATGTTCGTGAACATATACCTCCCAGCACATCCACCAGAGACATAAGAAAAACCATTAACCAAATACCTTTGTGGAGTCTGTTCTAAATGTAAAATGCTCCAAAGACGCAAATAAATATGTCAAAACCAAATGAACATGAAAAGCAATACAATAAAGTCTCAGCACAAAAAATAAATAGAACGATACAACATGAGGATCGCTTGCTCAGCAAGAACAATAACCATATCTCCCTCCCAAAAATTACTACACACAACCAGGTAAACCATGCCCCATAAAGAATCAATATTCCTTGCCTAAGTAAAACAATACTGCTCAGAATTTGATATTCTAGGGATTTCGTTTCCTACAAGAGAACAACGGGGAAGCAGATCAACTGCTGTAGTTCAGTAATGCTTATGCAAAGCAGAAAGGACACATGCACATAGCATTTTGTTTCAGCGACATTTTTAAGCATTTGAAAGGATGGCAGTACTAAAATCCTCATGAGTAGAACATATATGCTACAATTGATTTTCTAACCATGAGGAGAGAATCAGCACTTTCTGGCTTAATTTTCAACTTAAACCCCACAATCAAACAATGACGACGAACACTTCCATACTATAAATTCTACTTCAAAGAAGAAAATATGGCAAGTAAACTTGTATTAAAACCGTAACTAACATATCATAGAGATAAACATCATAGCACCACAATCTAATCACCCAAATCTGATAAGCCAAACAAATTTCAAGTGAAAGCATTTAATACTACATCCTAGCAGTCCCTAAAAGCTCACTTTCATAAACACAATAAGATTTAGCATAAGAAATTAGGTAAAGATGATGCTCCCAAAATCAAATGTCAAGCATTAATCAAGTCATATTTACATGCAATGATCCCTCGCATTTTACAAGGTCAAATCCCATGTTCTACCAATTTTCTCTATAATGTAGCAACGAACATCCTGAGCACGTCATAGTCTATCGTCTGATAAATTAGTAATTGGACTGCCAAAGACTGCACTTATCTCAATGTCACAGCAAACCAGTACATAAATAACATAATGTGCACAGGTTAACCTAGAAAGACCTTTGGTTCATTCTATCTCTAGCAAAGATCCCTCCTTCACAATCCTTTTTTCTCCCCCCTAAAAACTTATTTTGCTTAAGATTGATTAATTCAGGAAACAAGCATTTTCCTGATTACCAAACTACCATAGTACAGAGACCTAAACTCTTGCCAATGAACTGGACAAAAATAAGTTAAGAAACTCTATACTCGCAATCTGTAAGCCCCATAAAAGGCAAGACCAAAGATGACAGCCTATGACTTCTAAGGCATATATCATCAAGATCATAGACTGTATAGTTCAAGGTATTTGCATCAGAAAATAGCGTATTAATATTATAAAGCATAAAATGGACAAACCTTCATTGAATCACCACTATCTGCAATCACAATATCAAATGCGGAGTTTGCTTCTTATAAAAAAAAGTGAACACTATATTTTTTTCTGATAAGAAAATAAACAATATACTTTGCAAGCAAATCTTTGAGAACCTCTCACCAAGTGCAAGTGGGTAAGTGGCAACCAAACTTCAATGATCACTCTTATTCAACTCTACCCGCAACTCAGTTTTCTGCTTTTTGAACCTCAAGAAATGGCTCATACTTCAAGCTACAAGGCAGAGCTGAGGCACTTCCAGGTTATTAAAATAAATCAAAATTATAGAACCAGAGTGTGACCTTGGATTCATACTTTACACCTGTCTGAGAAATCTTCTTTCTTTTTTTTTCTTTTTTTTTCCTTCTTGCATTTCTTACACAATCACTTTTTTCTCAACTTTTTTTCTCATTTTGACTTTTCTTTTCTTTTCTTTTTTGCATCATTTTTTTTTTCATTCCTTTTTTTATTTATTCCCTCTTACGATTTCTTACTAGCTTTCTATTTTTTGCCTTGGCCCTCTGTGGGCTTTTTGCTACAGTTTTCCAAGCGGAAAATTCTGAGAAGATTTTCTTAGGATCATTTCTCTCAGGCACATATCTTCATTCCATCCTCAATTTCACTACAATTCCATTCTCTACACCAATATTGAAGAAATGGACCCTGCGACCATTTTGGAGACATCTAATCAAAATATGACTATAGAGTCTTAAACTTGAAAGCATGTGAACCAAGAGCAAAGATGCAATAGCATTTAACAATATGCTGGTCAACACATACATGTTAAAAGAAATGCTTCTAATCTGTAGAACCATGGTCACATGCTTAAAAGCGAGCACACCAAGAGTAAAGACGTAAATATATAAAAGCAAAACAGGTGAATCTAATTTGTTAACCTAATGTCTCATACAAATATAATTATCTTGCTATAGAAGATGCAGTGTCACTTTGCAACTAAGTAGATGAATAGCCAAGAAAGTGAAAAGTAGCCAAAACACGAGAAATGAAAATTAATGTTGATTGAAAGATGATGTTCTAATCTAACTTGGTGCAATTCATGTTATCTTTCCAACACTGTTGTTTCCTTGTGCCTATGTGATTTACGCTTTCCTTGTGGAGGAAGAACCAGTCAGCCTAATAGTTGCCCCTAATTGGAAAATGACAAACAAGAACATTTTTAGGTACTACAAAAATTATTGGGCCTTCTTGCTTTCCTTATGTTCCAGTGAGGAATCATTGCTATATGCTATCTTGATAAAAAAAAAATTATTGGCTCTTCTTGCTTTCCTTATGTTGCATGCTGGAAGTGATCCTATACGCTATGTTAACCACAGAAGTTCAATGTGATGGAGTAATTACACATGGTCAGTAGGATAAATCAAAAAGGAAGGAACAATCAATGATTTGAGGAAGGTAGTGAGCTTCCATGAAGCTTAAAACATGAAATACTATTGTTTTAAATCATCCCGCTTGGTATGGCAGTGCACCTTGGGCAGGGTCCCTCAACGTGCCTGCCTAAGTGGCCTAGGCACCACGTAGAGACTTGGCCAAAGGCGGGTGCCCTCAACTCCTCTCCCAAGGGTAGAAATAAGCCCTCGGATAGGTGCAAAAAAATTGGGGTTTGGTTTTGTGAAATTTTCAGGTTTGAATATTAATTTACTGCTTTTGGTGAGTAGGTCATCTTCCGGTTCAAATAAACTAAATGACCCGGTTGGAAAAATGCATGTCTGGCCGATTAAAAAATAAAATAAGGTTCCATGAATTTTTGTAGTAGTTATAAAGCCAGTAAATATCGAGAAAAGAAATATTTGAACATTATTAGAGGTAATGTAGTCATATGCGAGTGTACAACAACCAATGTCAGAATAATGTTAGCACATTTATAGGCAGACCAAAAAAATATAGAAGACAAAAAGAATAAATAATAGGAGATTGTCAGGTCAGTGAAAGTGTTTGGAGAGGAAGAAT